GGCATCTTCACCTTGCGCGACATGTACGAGCAGTTCCAGGCGGTGCAGAGCATGGGCCCCATCTCCCAGGTGATGGGCATGATCCCGGGGTTCTCCCAGAGCTCGGAGTTCCTGAAGGGCAGCGAGCCGGAAATCGCGGCGCGTTTCTCCCGGCTACTGTGTGTGCTGGAATCCATGACCGAGACGGAGCTCGATGATCCGGAGGCGCGGCACTTTTTCGACGAGTCGCTCGGGTCGCTCGGGCGCCGGCGCCGAGTGGCTCGCGGGTCCGGCGTCCCCATGTTCGAGGTGGAGCTCATCCTCTCGCAGTACAAGCAGATGGGCGGCCTGATGAAGACCATGGGCACCATGCAGGGGCTCAAGCAGGGGCTCATGCCGGGCATGGGCGGCCCCGGCGGCGGGCAGGCCGGCGTCAAGGGCGCCCCCAGCCGCCAGCAGCTCATGAAGATGCAGAAGGAGATGATGAAGCAGATGGGCGGCCCGGAGGCCATGAAGGCGGCCATGCGTCAGGCCCAGCAGGGCGGCGGCATCGGCGGCATGCTCAACAGTCTGATGGGCGGCGGCGCCGGCGGCGCCGGCGGCATGCCCGACATGGGGGCCATGATGCAGCGCATGATGGGCGGCGCTGGCGGCGCCGCCGGCATGCCCAACATGAATGCCATGATGCAGCAGATGATGGGCGCCGGGGCCGGTGGCCCGGGTGCCGCCCCCGGCATGCCGGACATGAATGCCATGATGCAGATGATGGGCGGCGCCGGCGGCGCCGGCGGCATGCCGGACATGAGTGCCATGATGCAGCAGATGATGGGCGGCGGCGCTGGGGCCGGGCCTGGAGCCGCGCGCCCCGGCGCCGCGCGCAAGCGCTAGAGAGGGCCACTCGGCGAGAGGGGGACCTCCGCACCCCTGCCCCTGTCCTTGTATATCCCGCTGCCGCTGTTGCTGCACTATCCCTCTCTCTCTCTCTCCCTCTCCCCCTGACCGAGCGCAATACACACAGCCCTTGATCTCGGGCAACCGGCTGGGCGGCCCAGCGACGGGCCGGGGGGGGTGGATTTGCGTGCGGAAGGTGGCGCGGGGGCGGCGGTACACGCGCGCGCGCGCACATGTGCGTGTGGCGAGGCAGCCCGATGGGCGGGGGGGGGCGCACAGCGGGCAGACACTCGGGCGGCCACTGCCCGGCGCCTGCCAACGCTCCCCCGGGCCGGGAGGAGATGGCTGCCCGGAGGCGCCCGGGTCAAGATCTGTCTAGCATGTGTCCGCCGCCCTCGCGCCCCCTCCCGCGCCCCGGGGCCAGGAGAAAGGCCGGGGGTGGCTCCGGCGCGGTGCGGGGGCGTTCCGGCGCCGGCGGGTGCCTTCCATTTCGGGGGGCGGGGCTGGGAGCGCCGGCCCCTGCCGAGCGCCCGATCGGGGCCGGGGCTTCCCTCGCCACGGGCGCCCCCCCCCCCCCCCCGCCGGGTGTCCCTTCGCGCGACCATCCCCCCGGGCCGGAGGGTCTTGGGCGGGCGGAGCGTCGCTCCGGCGAGCCCCATCTCGCGCATCCCCGCCCCCCCCCCTCCCCCCTTGCCCCTTTCCCCCCGTCCCTCTCTTTCCCCAAGAGAAGAAAGGAACCAAGCCTGCCATGGCCCTCTTCCCGGCGCTGCTGCTCTTCGTGACGGTCCTCACCCTGGCCGGGGCGCTGATCGCGGTGCTGCTGTTCGGCCCGACGCCGCAGCACCGGGACTCGGCCCTCGGGTGGGTGTACCGCTTCCTCACCGGGACCCTGGTGAATGCCCTGCACGCGGTGGCCCTGCGGGTCCTCGGCCAGCGGGTCCTCGGGGCGTTGGCCGCCGCCGGGCGATACTTCTTCTACGAGCGCAATCCCTTCCTGATGGCCTTCTACCTGTCGCTCATCACGGCCGGCGTGGTGATCTACCTCGGCTGGACGCACCCGTACCTGTCGCCGGCGCACCAGCCGCGGCTCATGTCCCCGGTGCACTGGTACCTGTCACCGGTGGCCATCCTGGCCACCTTTGCCTCCTTCTTCACGGCCTGCCTCTCCAATCCGGGGTACATCAACCAGCGCAATGTGCGCCGCTACTTGCAGGCATACAAGTACGATGGCCTGATCTTCCCCCCGCGCCTGTGCGACACATGCAAGATCCCCAAGCCGGCGCGCTCGAAACACTGCAACCTGTGCGGCGTTTGCGTGTCCCGCCATGATCACCGTACGTGCTGCCATCCACCGCGGCGGGGCCGGCCGACGGATGCGCGCCCCCCCCCCCCCCCCCTCCCCCTGCCACCTGGACCTCCCGGGACCCTTCTCTTGTCTTGCTATACTCACCAAGTTGATCTCGCCGCCTCTCGCCCTCGGCCCCTTCGCCCCCGGGCCCGCCACCCTGCAGACTGTCCCTGGATCAACAACTGCGTTGGGGGCGGGAACCTCCGCTGGTTCTACCTGTTCATCCTGTGCTCCGGGGCCCTGTGCCTGTATGGCGCGTGGCAGACCTCGGTGCTGGCCGTCCGCCTGGTGTCGGCCCGGCGCCTGTTCACCCTGACCCGGCCGCACCCGCTCACCGGGCGCATGACCCCCCTGGGGCTGGGCGACGTGGCGGCGATCATGCTGTACCACGACGCGCCCATGCTGCTGCTTGGGTTCTTCCTGCTGCTGGTGGGCCTCCTGCAGATGGCCTTCCTGCTGTACTCCTTCAGCTACTCCCTGTCCAACTCGACCACCAACGAGAGCATCAAGCGCGACGGGCTGGAGTACATGTTCCAGCAGCTGGGCCACATCACCATCCGGTCGCCCATGCGCATGGGGGACTTGGCGCCGGAATTCGCCGACATCGATCTGGCCGCCGTCTCCATGCCTCCCATCGAGGCCGGCCCGGAGGACATCACCACCCAGGTGAAACTCTATGACAGCGTGGTGGCCCTGCATGTCCAGGCCCCGGACGCCGCGGAGGACGCCGAGGGCCCGGCCCCGGCCCCGGCCCCGGCTCCGGCTCCGGCTCCGGTCCGGGAGGACCTCCCGAAGGGGTCTCCCCACACCAAGGCGGCCAGCGCCAGGCCCAACACCAAGCCCGGGGCCGGGCTCCGCCACCGGAAGAACCCCCCTCCACAGGAGGACCTTTACCCCATCCACATCACCCGGTACAATACCTTGGAGGTGGCCCTGGTCAACCGGTATGACCTGGGCAGCTGGTGGGCCAACATCAAGAGCTCGCTCTTCCCTCCCTTGCCTTGAGGGGGCGGCGGCGGAAGGGGCCACCCCCTCTGCCGGGCCCGAGCCATTGTGCCCTCTGCCCTGTTGGCCTTTCACTTGTGCGCGCCCAAAAAAAATGGAACTCCCCACAGCCCAAGCTACACGCACGCACGCACGCACGCACGCACGCACGCACGCACGCACGCACGCAGGGAAGGAGACGGTGAAACTGGGTGGTTGATATTGACAAGGACATGGGCTCCTGGCGCGGCGAACTCCAAACAGCGGAATGGACGCGTGGCACATGCTTCCATGTGTGCCCGAAGGGGAAGAGGAGGGAGGGAGGGAGACAGGGGGAGGGGGGAGGGAGGGGCGCGAAACGAGGCCCCCGGCGAAGGAAGGAAGGGAGAGGGAGGAGGCGCACACGCGCACGCACACAGGTGCACTTGCGCGTGTGGCCGGGAGACGGAGACGGAGAGGTGCGGAAAGGCGGCGGGCGCAGCACGGAGAGAGGAGAAAGAGACAGGACCAGCGCCGCCCATCAGAGCTGCATGTCGGCCAAGAGGGCGGAGTAGGTCTTCTTGTACTGCCACGAGTCGCCGGAGACACGCTTGCAGCGGAGGCCGTGGAGGGACAGGCCGGGGAGCTTGCACACCTCGACCTCGAACTCGACACCCTGGAAAAGGGCGGCCCCCGCACACGCAGGAAGGGAGACCGAGCAGCGCACATGCGCACGTGGGGGCCAGTGTAAGTACGTGAACGAGCAAAGTGGCGCAGAGGCACATGCCAGCAACTGGGTCCACCCTGCGCCGCCCTCCCCCCAACCATAACCATAACGCACCTGGTGGTTGACATGGAATGTGAAGAGATGGCGCTCGTACTGAGCGTTGCGGTTTTGCAGGGCGCGCTCCACCTCGCGCACCACCTCCGACACATGGCGCGAGGAGGTGGTAGCCAGCGAGAAGTAGAACCGCAGCGACCGCGGGGAAGGAGCCACCTCGGGCGCCGGGGCCGCCGTCGGGGTGGCGGCCGCCGCGGCCACACCGGCACCAGGAGCGCCGGCGGTCGCGGCCACCGGCGTCGACGACAGCGACGTGCTCGACCCCTCCTGCAGGGACACCTTGGACGAGGCGGTCGACGAGGCGGTCGACGAGGTGGCCGACGAAGAGCCGGCCGGGGTGGTGGGCGGACCACCGCCATGGACCATGGGCCCGGGGCCAGGAGCCCCGGAGATCGAGGGCGAGGGCGGCACGGCCCCCGGCTCGGCCACGGTGAACTGGCTGCCAGGCGGCGTGGCGGTCAGGTGCATGGGGCTCGGCGGGGCCACACCGGTGGCGGACTTGGGCGAGGCCAGGGGCGACTCGCGTGCCGACACCGACTCCGACCGCAGGCGCCGGCGCAGGCGCCAGTTGGCGATGGTGAAGCGCGAGCCGCCGACCGGCTGGCCGTCGGCCCCGGCCCCGGGCCCGGGCCCGGGCCCGGGCCCGGCATCGGCCCCGCCCGGGGACGACACCGACGCGCTGCTGGTGGACACGTGCAGCGACGCCGAGCCGGACGTCGTCAGGATGGGGGCTAGTCCGCCACGGGGGGTGCTCGGGGCCGACTGGCAAACCCCAGTCCCATGGGGGTCGCCGCCCATGACCAGCATGTCCACCTGGCTGGTGTTGGCCGAGCGCGAGCCGGCCCCCGACGCCGGGGGGGGGATCGACACCGATGGCTGGGCCGGGACCACCGGGCCCCCGGGCCCAGCCACCCCGGCCCCCGGGCCCAGGGGCGGGGTGGTGCTGGTCGGCGTCGGCGGGGTGCTGGACTTGCCGCTGCTGTTGCTGCCGAGGTTGGTGATCTTGCTGGCCAGGTGGCCGAAGGGCGAGCCCCCGAGCGAGCTCAGGGTCATGGACCGGCCGCGGCCCTTGCGCGCGGGCTTGGCCGCGGCCGGCTGCTGCGCCGCGTCGGCGGCCGGCTGCTGCGGCAGGTGCGTGGTCGGGCTCGACGGCGAGTAGGCCGGCGGCGGGGGGATGGCCACGGTGGAGGCCAGCTGCCGCGCGGCCATGGTCGTGTCGCAGGTGACCGCCAGCGCGGCCAGCTCCGACTCGGTGGTCGTCGGCGAGGAGGGGGCCGTCGTGGCCCCGACCGCGCCGTCGGTCGAGTTGGAAGACGAGGAGCTGGGGCTCTGTGTGTGTGTGTGTGTGTGTGTGTGTGTGTGTGTGCGCGCCGTGCGTGGCCGCGCGTGGCCGTGCAAACCCCGGCCAAAGCACAGCAAGGTCAGTGACTGATGCGCATGCACGGTGGCAGGGACATGGCCGAGCCGATGGGAAGAAAAATAGCAAAGGAAGGAGCACAGCGTCCCACACGGCCGGGCGCCGGGGGGGGGGGGGGCAGAAAAAGGAAGAAAAAAAGACGCACCCGCCGCATGAGATCCCGGCGGAGGGACTCCAGCTGCACGACCACCTGGTTGCTGGAGTGCGTGTGCCGGCGACTGCGCCGGGTGCTGGCCTTCTTGGAGGCTTCGGCCTGGGCCGCGGCCGAGGCGGCCGACGCCTGGGAGAAGTGCGCCGCCGCCTCGACCACCGGCGACGTGGGCATCAGCGGCGAGGGGGCAAAGTCCGGGTCATAGGGGATCCCCGCGTCGTACGGCCCGGAGGGCGGCGCTGCGATGGACACTGGCCGCATGGCCGGCCGGCCGGCCGGCGGCGCGGCCCCCCGAGACCGCGCGAAGAACCGCTCGATCGTCGGCGAGGGGGGCACCGACGTTGGAGCATCGCCGGCGGCCACCGCGGCCGCCTGGCCGCCGACGCCGCCGGACACCTGCACAGACAGCCCGTTCGGCCGGTTGGGCGAGGTGTCGATGCGCAGGCCGCGCGGGGAGGCCGCGACGGGGCCCGGCGCCGCATCGGGCTTGGCCCCATTCCCGGCGGGCTGATGCTCCGGCGGGGCGCCGGGCGATGCGGACGACGCCGAGCCAGCCTCCGAGGCGGGCCGGCTGTCCGCCACGCCACCGGCGTAAAGCGCCGCGCCGCCGCCGGTGGCGCCGGTGGCCGCCGTGGCGGTGGTGACAGTTGTGGCGGTGGTGACAGCTGTGGCGGCGGTGACGGCTGTGGCGGCGGCACTGGCCGCTGCCGGGGCCGTGGCCGGCGGCGGGGTCGACGTCGGCCCGTCGGACTCCTCGAAGTGCCCCTCGGTCGGGGTGACAACCATGGTGGCCGACGACACGGCGGAGGCCGGCTGCTCGGCCGGTGACGGCGTGGCGGCGGCACCGGCCACACCCGGCGGCGCGGCCCCGGTCGATGGGCTCGAGGGCAGGGGCGCTTGCTCCGGCGACGCGGCCACGCTCGAGGGCTTGCTCGCCGGCGGGGTGATGGTTTCCGGGCTGGTGGGCGAGGCGATGGCCGCCACGGCGGCCACGGCCGCCGCTGTGGCCGCCGGCGAGGGGCTCACCGGCGGCGGGGTGTCGGCCGCCGGCGGGGCGACGATCGGCTTGGGCGGCTTGGCGGCCGCCGCCGCGCTGGCCCCGGTGTAGTTCGGCAGCGACCCATCCGGCGCCGAGGCAATCGAGGTCATGGACTTCGGGTTGCCCAGAGCCTCGACACCCTCGACCGTGGCCCGGTCCACCAGCATGTCGCTCAGCAGGGCGTACGTCACCGACGCATGGGAATAGCTGGCCGAAACGGAGGCCTCAATTTCGGCCGCCGTGCCGGGGAACCCGAGGGCCGCCATGCGGGCGATCACCTTGGCATGCTGCTCCGGGGTGACGCGGACCTCGGTCTCCGGGGCCGGCGGCAGCGGCGACTCGTACCCCTCATTCACCCACACATGGCGCTTCAGCTGCTCCATGGTGATGCGCTTGCTCGGGTCGATGACCAGCATCCGCCGGATGAGGCGCTCGCAATTCGGGCTCATGTAGAGGGGGATCTTGAATTGGCCCTCGAGCACCCGCTGCCGGAGGATGGTCAGCGACGCCCCGTCGAAGGGGAGCGCGCCGCAGATGAGCACATAGAGGACCACACCGAGGGACCAGATGTCGATCTCCGGGCCGACGTACTGGACGGTGGGCCGGGGAAAGGGAGGGGGGGGGGGGGCGAGGGGCGGGGCCATGGTAAGTGGACGGCGCAAGTGGGCGCGGCTGTCCTGGCCAGAGAGGGGGCGGGCGGAGGGGGGACAGGGTGAAACGGACGCACCTGCTTGCCCTGGAAGAGCTCCGGCGCGGCGTAGGGCGGCGAGCCGCAGCAGGTGGTCAGGTGCGAGTCGGGGCTGAACTGGTTGGAGAAGCCGAAGTCCGCGATCTTGGCGTGGAGCTCCAGGTCGAGGAGCAAGTTCTCGGCCTTGAGATCGCGGTGGATAATCTACGCAGGGCCACCATGGGGGCGGAGGGAGAGGGAGCGAAGTGACGAGAGTGAGCAATCGCCAGCCGAGCCAGGGTGGACGGGAGGGGAGAGCGGGAGCGGGAGCGGGAGCGGGAGGATGCGGACCTTGTGGTAGTGGCAGTAGTCCACGGCCGAGAGGATCTGGCGGAAATACCTCCGAGCATCACGCTCGCGCATTCTCCCGTGGGCCACCAGGTAGTCGAAGAGCTCACCGCCGCCGGCCAGCTCCATGACCATGTAGTACTCGGTGGGGGTGTCGATCACCTGTGTGCGAGGCGGGGCCAAAAGAGGGCATGGATGGCGCGCACGCGAGTGTGTGCGTGTGCGTGTGTCAGAGAAGGAGAGAAGGCGAGGGGGCGGGGGAGTGGGCAAAGGGCGCCCAGTGCGCCAGGGGAAGGACGCACATCATAGAGGCGGCAGATGTGCGGGTGGTTGAGAACCTTCATGAACTTCACTTCGCGCGAGAGCTTCTCCAGCGAGCCGGGAACAAGCTGGAGAGATACCGGAGCGGGGGGGGGCCAGGAAAAAAGGGTGTGCCAGGAAAAAAGGCTGTGAGTGCCATGCGCAATGGAACAGAGAACGGGAGGGATGAGAGGGGGGGGGCGCACCTTGCTCTTGTCGACGATCTTGATGGCCACCTGTGGGCGCGGGCGCAAGCGGGCGAGGGGCGGGGGAGAGGGGCAAGCGGGAGCGATGTGAGCGGTGGAGAGTAGTGGAGAAGCCGAGTAGTGGGCATGTGTGTGTGTGTGCCTGGGCCTATGCGATGGACAGAGAGAGAGAGAGAGAGAGAAAAAAAGCACAGGCAGGCACGATGCCTGCCGCGAGGGAGGACAGAAGCACGGACCTTGGCCCCGGTGAGGATGTGCCTGGCCAGGCGGACCTTGGCGAAGTTGCCCTCGCCGATCTTCTGCTCGAGATCGTAGAACCCGATGCGGTTCGGCCGCGGGCCCTGCTCCATCTCCTGCAGGACCTGCTCGTAGAAGGAGAGCCGCGGCGCCGCGGGGCCGGCACCGGCGGAGGGGTCGCTCGTAGGTGGCCTCATGCTGTGGATGGAGGGGGAAAAAAGGGGGACGAGGGAACAAGGGAAAGGGAGGTGGGCAGGGGCGCACGCGCGGGCTCGCGGATGCAGACAAGGACACACGCGCGTGCAGGCAGACAGGCACGGGCCGGGTGTGTCTGTCTCTCTCTCTCTCTTTTGGGGAGCGAGGGAAAGGGGGCGGGAGCAGCGGCGAGGCAGAGAGAGAGAGAGAGGAAGGGAGGGGGCAGAAGGGGAGGGGGAGGGGGAGGGGGGAGGGCGAGGTGGAAGATGGGACGTGGGGGTGGGGGTGGCAAAGGGGGGAGGGGGGGGAGGCGGATCGGTGCCTTTCTCTTGCCGCGGGCCGGGCGCGGCGGCCCGGGGGGGAGGGGCCGGCGCGATTTGAGGGCCCGCACAGCCTCGACGGGGACTACCACAGCCTGTGAGGCGAGCCCCTCTCGCCCCCGGCCCCCCCCCGGCCCGCACATTGCCAACCGGGACATGCTGCGATTGCCGGGCTTGGAAGGGTGCACGAGAGAGAGAGAGAGAGAGAGAGAGAGAGAGAGAGAGAGAGGGGGGCGAAGCCGAAGGTGTCGCAGGCCAGGCGGCCAACACGGCTGGGCCAACGAGGGGCCCTGCGTGTCCCCCTGCCCGGCGCCGAGCACCGGACGGGGCTGGGACCCACGGAAGGCGGTCCCCCCCCCCCCCCCCC